TTTTAACAAAACCACGTTCTCCTCTTCAAAGTACTCTCCATTACACTTAATATATGTGTCGAAGCTGCAATTCCATTCTTGGAAGCATTTTTCAAACTCATCTGTTTGGACAGCTGACAGAACCTCCCTCATATTTTTCTTCACTTGTTCTATGTCGTCAAATTGCTGTCCTTTCATATATCTCTTCATCCACAGAAACAAAAGCAAGTCGCAAGGAGTGAGGTCAGGTGAATGAGGTGCAGGGGGCAAGAGAGGAATGTTGTATTTTGCCAAAAACTGGCGCACTGAGATGGCTGCGTGAGCAGGTGCATTGTCCTGGTGGCAAAACCAGTTCTCTGCCAGCCACAAATCAGACCTTTTTGGTCACATACTGTTATGCAATCTTTTTGGAACTTCTAAATGGAGAGTTTGATGAACAGTCTGACCTGTGGAATTAACTCCAAACTATCCCCCTCACATCAAAAAAACAAATGAGCATTGTCTTGATCTTTGATTTCACTTGACGAACTTTTTTTTGGAGGGAGCAAGGTGAATGTCGTTTTCCACTGGTTTGACTGATGTTTGCTTTCAGGGTCATAATAGCATGATGTCTCATTACTAGTAATGACCTTGGAAAAAAAGTTCGGGTCACTTCAGAGCTGTTCTTCATAGGATAGCATGTTTCCAGCAGATGCGCTTTTTGCTGGTCATTCAGAATCCAAGGCACAAATTTCACACTGACCCTTCTCATTCCCAAATCTTCCATTAAAATTTGCTGAATCAAAGTCCAACATAGTCCAGATAACTTCCCCATCTCTTCAGTGGTCTGTCGTTAGTTTTCGAGCACAAGTGCAAAAATTTTGTTGACATTTTCGTCCTTGCGGGAAGTTGATGGATGTCTAGAACGAGATTTGTTATCAATTGACCTTTTTTTGAAACAAGAAAACCACTTGTACACTTGAGGTTTTCCTTTAATGCTGTCCTTGTAAGCTGTGTTCAATATCACACCAGTTTTTGCAGCATTTTTCCAAAGCAGGAAACAAATTTCACAGCCACACACTGTTCTCTTAAATTGGCCATCACAAAAAACGAGGTTCATGCGAAACTGCTTTTACAAAAAAATTTACTGTGACCAGAGAGAACATTCCCAGGTGATGCCACTGGGTGCACTAACTCAGAGTGAGTTGCTGGATGCTCGCCTAGTGGGAAAAATGTGTACTACGAAAGCTCCACCCAGCGGAGATTTTTCCTTTTTATGTTGGGAGCGAGGGTACCCTTCGTATACGCCTATAAAGAATTACAGCCTTGGAAACGGTCACTATGAGTCAGAATTGAGTCCATGGCAGTGCGTTTGGTTTCATTCAGTCCAGTAAAATGCAGCTTGTAAAATGAGAAATAAACTGAGCAGTTACCAACCAACACTTCAGAAAGCAGGTACAATCAAACCAGAGTCGTGAAATATGGATGAGAAGTAACTTCAACATAAGGAGAAATAGTCAAGAGGAAAATGTTACTCTACTCAAAATATAAACACAAGATCTGACTGTACAAAGCAGAATCTGAAAGGCCCAAAGGAGATTACTATCCTCCACAAACATATTACCACTTTTTCCTTAAAAATACTACTTTTTATTATGGCAATTTACCATTTGAAGGAATCCCAAAATCCAGATTCATTCTCACTAGTTCCATCACTCAATAAGTCTTCATTCACCATGTCTGCCTTCTTTTGAACCTGCAATTGTATATAATGAATCTTATTATGCCTAACAGACATAAAATTGATTTGTACAGGATGTATATTGTGAATACTTTCAGCAATAGGGAACCAAGTAATTACCCATTAATTATCCCAAGAGAAGGCACAACTCAACCCGGAGTCTAGCTATACTCAACAGAAGTATCATCATGCTGTTCCTATTGGAATGTTACATGAGGAGAATGCAAGTTCTTCTAATTAGGCAATGCAAGTTCTTCTAATTAGGCAAAAATTATTTTTAATTTGTAAAATGAGCTAAGACCATTTTGTGGGTAATATCTGAGTAAACTACAATTGTGTAAGTAATATGATCTCAGAAAAAACAGAAACATAATTCACTGAGCTAAACAGCTGTTCCAGGGAACATGGGCAGCCTTCTTGAACTCAATTGTCAGGCAGAAGTCATGTTGTGTCACCTTAAAAAAAAAATCAGGATTTATCAGTAAAAAGACAAGTTAACTCTATGACACAGGGACCATTATTTTGTTCTGTTACTTGTGAGGTCTGCTTTAGATTTGACAGTGTCTCATGATGATTCAGTTCATAATACCTTTTACTCAAAGGTTCTCATAACTTCAAAATTCTGAGAAGAATAGGAGTGAGAAGAGACAAAATAAGGCTACCATTCTATAAACTGTTAAGGGTTTTCATTAGCATTTATCCAATTTTCTGAGAATAAAATTATCAATAGTTATGTGAATTGTGTCTATATAAATGAACACAGTACACACAAGAACACTCTATATAAATGGGACTGTCATTGTGCACGGGGAGTGGGTTATGCATTGGCCTGTTAACCTTAAGATCTACATTTTGAAAACATAACCACTCTATGGGAAAAAGATGAGTTACAGTTTCAGAAACCCACGGAAGCACTTCCACCCTGTCCTCTAAGGTACCTTGAGTCAGGATTGATTGACTCAATGGCAGTGAGTTTGTTTTTTATTACTCACTGAGGTGACCAAATGGCAAAAAATCATTGTGCTAAAACAAGTCAGAAAAGATATTCTATACTCACAGCAATGTTCCTGTAAATGCTGTAGCAAAGTTCCAAAGTGAAACTGAAGTCTTGGGATGGTTTCAAGATATGCATGTTTACGTAACAGCCACTGATTACAAGTATATGGACATGTTTTGCAACTTAACATACCAACTCACCTTCACTTTAATAATTTTGCCCTTGAAATTGTTGAGGACAACAACAACTTCATCAGCATCAGGAGGAGAATCTGTACCATCATGGCTTAGGGAGAAAAAAATTAGAGAAAGTAATGTAGATGTTACAAATCCAAACTCAGAATGCAGTGTATGGTCTGACAGCAATCCCCTGTATTTGTCCATCACACCTTTACCATACAGAGTTTTCCAGAACAAATGACTTTCTCTCAACCAAGGAAGTTCCTTCAAGTCACACGGAAGTACTAGTCGAAGGCTCTATCCTTAAACATAGATGACAACAGATACAGCACAAACTCCTCTAGGAGTCTTTCTTTCAATAAGGTCTTCCAGAGAAGAGGGCTCCTGTAGCCCGGTGAGCACCAGATGTGCTCTGACAACTCCGTATTTATAGTCATCAGCCTTACACAAAATGCACCTTACGTAAAGGAGGGCAAGAGGAGGGCATGCCATTCTAAAGCACTCCTGGAAACATATCACTGTTCACTCTCTTGTTAGCAATCATCAAAACTTGGCTCTGTGTCACATTTTGTAGAGGAAAATCTTCTTTTATTGTTTTTATTTTTCAATCATTTTATTGGGAGCTTTTACAGATGTAACATTCCATAGTTCAATCACACCAAGCAGTATTGTACAATTGCTACCAGTTTCAAAACATTTTCTTTCTTCTTGACCTTCTTGATATCAGCTTCCTTTTGTCCCCTCCCTACCCACCAAGAACCCTTATTTCTTTTATGTTTCTATCATTTTGTTGGAGGCACACGAACATCCACGTCTAGACCTGGGACTCAGTCTAACATTTGCTTTATGTAGGAAGAAATATATGACAACAAGGTCCAATTGTAGGTAGAAAGGGCAGAAAAGGAAAAATAAAAATGTTTCTTTACCAAGAAACTGTAATAGCTAAAATTTCCAAAGTTACTAAATTTCAGGGTGTTGACTATAAAAAGCCAAGCTAATAATGTGAATTCACTGGGTTAGTTAGCTGTACTCCATTAGAGAGCAGGGTTATCAGACAAAAGTAAAACTCTGCTGGGGAGAAACTTGAATCATGAAGTACTTCAAAGCTGGGGACTGTCCACATGGAGTAAGCAGTGCATGAGGGAGGTCTTAGAAAGCCAACAAGAGAGGAGGGAACCACATCACCCCTAAGGGAAAGAGAAGAGGGTCTGGGAAAGCAGGGAGGGGCAGGGCATGTGCTTTGGAAGAACAACGAATACGCCTGTACGACAGACTAAAGTTTTGTAACTCACATATCAGGAACTGTTTGGAGAAAACTAGTCTATTATTTACATGTAAATATTATTTTTCAACATAAAATTCTTCTACTTCCTACTAAGAAAAGGGCCCCTCTGTAATTGAGTACTACACTGGCAGGTAGCCAGACATGGGCATCAATGTGTAATTTTTCTTTTAGCACATCCACATCTCAACCCTGACTGAACTGAGAAGAACTGACTCCATTTCTTACCTGCTACGGTCTCTACCACAGTGACCGATGATGTGAGTCTGGGATACTATTTACAGGAAGGAATCAGTGCAGAGTGAACACCTGATTATAGTTACTAGCAGGCATTAGCTTAATGTTGATAATTCTGACAGATTTAATTTCCTAGAAAAGCACTGATTCATCAAAACACCCAATTATAAATTAAATTTTTGTCCACCTGCCAGTGTAATACTCAAGCACAGCTGACTTACATTTAAAACTGCTCTGAAAAAATGTACATGCATGACTTAATCCTACCTGTAGATTCTATAAATGTCTTCAGATCGCCCCTTCCTAAGTCTGAGAATCCAAGCTCCTGGGTTAGCTTTTAATTGAAAGTAGCCCTAGGATGAAAAGAAAAGGCAAAGTTTAGATATCTTTGAAACACTAAAATTTTATTCCTGAGGGACATTTATTTTCTGAAACATTATTTATTTTTAAATAAGATAGTTAACAATAACCATAGAAGCAAAAGATTACTCATTAGAAATACTATTAAAATAGAAGCCAGTCAAGCCTGGAAGCCTGTCCTATAGCTGTGCTTAAGTGAAGGGTCAATGTGTGACCAAGTTGCATCTCTCTAAAGAAAATAAAAATACAGTCACTTCGTGAACAATCCATGTTCAGGGGCCAGTTTGGTCGGAGTAGCATAATCCAGATGGTTTTTGTTAGGCTAGCATGTAACTCCAATCTACTTTACAAATTAAACTGAACTACAGATTATTATATTGACTGAATTCAGTCACTCATGAATTTCCGTTTCAATGATTCAGAATCCTAACTGCACCATCATAAATTCTATTACCCAAATTAATAGGACAATATTGACATGATTTGCTAATTAATTACCAGATTAGCCATTACAATGGTGTCAACAATGACTGGGTTAGCCGAAGTTCCTAAGGTAAACTGCAGTCCTCGGGGAGGTTGGCCTGTGGTGATGTCATAACAATGACCTTCTAGTAACAGGTACTCCAGCTCATACTCAGCAGTCACGATGCTCTCTACCTGTAATATCAAAATTGAATCACGTGAAGAGTGATAGATATAACAGGGACGAAAAGCATATGCATCATATAAGTGAAAAATGTCTAACACAAATGCCTAGATACATATTCTATGATCACATTTATAACAAAATATTGTAACAGAAAAACTAAATTGGATTGTTGCCTGAGGCAAGGAACAGGGGCAGAAGAGAAATTTGGGGGGTGATACTCTGTACTTTGATTCTTATGGTAGTTATCTAATTGTACAAAAGTACAAAAACTCATAGAACTGTACACATAAAATTGGCAAGTTTTATTGTATGCCTATTATACCATACAATAAAGCTGATTTTAAAACATTATACTGAGCCAAAGAAGATGCAAAACAGCCCATACTGTATGATTCCACTAACATGAAACCACAGAAGAGACAAATAATTATAGTAAAAGAAAGCATTGAGTTGATTGTCTGAGGCCAGGAGTTAGGAGCAGAGGGTTGACACAAGATTGGCATAAGACTGAGAGTTTAGGGGAAGAAGGATATTGATATGTCTTGATTTTTGTGGTGGCTACGTAGCTATATAATAAAACTGGTAGCACAGTGGCTATGCATTGGATTGTTAACCCAAGGTCAGCAGCTCAAAACCACCAGCCACTCTGTGGGAGAAAGACAAGGTTATAAATCAAATAACCTATTGTATTGGGAAAACCACTACACAAGGTCTTTTCAAAGTGTTCAAAAACAAAGATATCATTTTGAGGACTAATGTATGCTTGTCCCAAAGCCATGGTATGTTAATCGGCCTCCTATGTAAGTGAAAGCCAGATGAGGAATGAAGATGACTGTAGAAGAACTGGTATATTTGAGGTGCAGAGTTAGTGAGGAATATTGAAAGTACCAGGGCTGCCAAAAGAACAAACAGATCTGTCCATAAAAAGTACAGCCAGAATGTTCCTTAGAAATGAGGACAGTGAAACTTCCATCTCACATACATGTCAGGAAAGACCCATCCTTAGAAAGGGACATCATGCTTGGTAAAGTGGAAGGCTAGTGAAAGAGGAAGTTGGATTTAAAAGTGTCAGCGACAATGGCTGATGACAACACGTTTGTGAGGATGGTGCAGGACAGGGCATAGGGTGGTACAGAGGGTTGCTGAGTCAGATCGGACTAAACATCCCTTAACATCATCTACAGGCTAGTTCAGATAGGGCTTTGTAATTTGACCTAATGTCAGGTAGTTCATTTACAAATATCTTACTTATAGATAATTCCTACATGCCTTTTATGGCCAGGCTGCGAATTGGTTCTGTCATTTGTGAAGAAGTGAAAGAGGAACAGACTGAACATTTTATTATCTCTGTGATTTGAGAAAAAAATATGTGGCTCTAGAAGAATGGAATATTGGCAAGGCTGAGAAGAGTCACACACATTCAAAGGGGTGCAG